TTCGCACCGTTTAAAATCTGCAACTAATGAAAATTATTTTGGCATATGTAAATAAGTTTTTTACAACGATCGGTGCATCATAAACTTAATTAAGGGTAAAAGGTTGACTTTTATAGATCGCATATCGTAAGGACAGTTGTCATATATAACGTGCAAGAACAGAAGTACGAAGACTGTGTTCACACGATGGTTAAAGCTAATCAATGTTCGATCATACATGTGGTTCAAACAGTACATTATACAAGTCAATCACTTTCGTTTAGCAATTGTTTGTATTTTGTTCAGACTAATTTATTTACAGCAATGTACTTGTATTTTGTTCGCAAGAGTTTATCTTACACAGCTCATGTTATTTTTTTCAAAACACATCGCCGTCGTTTTCTGGTAGTATATTGAACTCCCCTCGGTCATAACTGAACAACGTAAGTTTAGTAAAATTGCCGTGTATACGCAATTTAATGATAAGATTGTTCAAAGGCAGGTCTGTACTTATTCTTGTACTCTTCGATCGTAGGTTATGGTTTGTTGGTAATATTACAAAATTTTATGGTTTGTTATGTGCACCGAAACTGGTACTGTAAACCTCCGGAACTGGTGAAAACAATCAGATTAAATGAAGCGGCTTTCTTATTAGAAAAAAAAGGTTTGAAGTGGAATCAAATATCTACTAGCAAGTACATTTGGTCTTGAAACAATTTGATAATTTGTATGCAGACAGCGAAAGTTGAAAAATATAAAACAAAAGAAAAAAAAGAAAGAAAAAAAGAAAACTTGTTAATCAACGGTCATTGGTCAAAACTAGACGTTTTACATTTCACGGACATATCGTATGCTTGTACCACGAGTGTTATTGCATTCATGAATCCATAACACATTAATTTCAAGTACGAAATTCTGTAAAATTATTCTAAACACCCCATATGGTGCCCCATAATAAAAATAGTCTTCTATACGGGAAACAACCTACTGTTAGAAGGATTTAGCTCAATACAGGATTGGAGCAGTACCTCTAGACGCTTGCAGAAATCATGATCATAAAATAGACAAATATCGTTTTTTTCGCCGAATTTTACATTTTTCCTTGATTATCGTACTTGATTTTGTGTGAGAAGATGAATTAGACCTGTTAAAGTTCATTCCGTTGGGTAAAAAGACAGGATTATAGCATTTTATCATTCAAGCGCCTTGTCCGGTATATACCGGAATACGGTATTTAGTGTGGTGCTCCAATCCTTTTTTTAGTCACAGCCCTGTTAGAATACATTGTATAGTGTTGCCTCCCTTGGTTAGAAGAAAATTGCCGCGGGTTTCCCATTTCTGTCGTTTTTGCTTTTATTTCAAGATTTGTTGATTAAAAATGTCAACAACACATAGCTCTGGCTTATATTAATTGACTATTATGAAATTTGAATGATTATTAGCGACTTTTGAAATGTCGTCTGTACTCGCTGGCAAAGGGGGCAAACTTGTCTTAATTTGTGCCTAATGGAGTTATCCTTTGCGCATGCGCAACAGTAGCATGTGAAATCCCTCATGCGAAAAATCTAAACACACCTGCTTGTAAAATATAAAAGTGAGAACGATTATGTCTAAAGATTATTTTAGACTGATGAAGAAATTCTGACGAACGTTTCCTTGAATAATATTGTTCTGAAAAAAAAACTCACCTTCAATTTTGAAGAGTTTCAGTAAACCAGGGCTTTTTTTCACAGTTTGGGGAAGCAGCAGCACAGCCCTTAATTTTGGGGAAGAATTACATGGTATATTTGCAAAAGGGGAAGAAAAAACTTAATGTAAATTCAATTTTTGGGGAAAACTGCATGATTTTAAAGAAATTTTCTTTGGGGAAGCAGCCCTATACCGGCCCCTGTAATAGAAGGTAAAAAGGCCCTGTAAACATTGACGGATACTGCTTCGATACCAGTAGGCCTATATTTAAAGCAATTTCACTACCATTTATTATTGGCTTAACAGCTTAACTGTTTCAATATTGGTTGTTCGGGATATAAACGAGTACGAGAAAAAGTTACCCCTACCTTCTGTTGGCTCCATCATGGCGTTTTTCTGCAAGGGGAGAAAACTGTTAATTAAGGTAGTACACACCTAATGCTGAAGAGTATTTAAATAGGCTACTGTATTGAAACTGAAGGGCGTGGGTTCAACCCCCAGAAGGGGCAACTTTTTTTTTCTTTCTTTTTTTTCTTTTTAACATTTTTTATTGATCTCTCAGATCCTTAATGTAAGAAAAAAGTGTTTTATTTTAATTATATTATTATTGTAGGTATTTATTTACTAAATAATGCCAAATTTAATAGCAAATATGATACCAGATATTTTCAAAGTTTAATAAAATAAAAACTACACGGTAAAAGAACTTTATATTTTCCAAGATCAACTAATATACATTTAAAATATTTTAGGCAAACATTGAAAACAGCCCCTCATTGTGGAAAATTTTAGGGATATTTTAAATAAGGATTTTTACATAGGGAAATGATCAAAAAGTGTTAAAAGTGGGTGGGGTAGGGTTACATTTTTATACATATTAAAAACATTTCATTTAATATCAATCATTTTGCTTGTTTAATTTGTTACATAAATGTCATTATTTGTTTCTTAACAATGAGCAATAGGAAAACATTTTCATACTGATTATTTAGAGTTTCCATATTTCTGAAAAAAGCCCTTCTAATAGCAAAGTTTTAGTTCAGAAAAATGTCCATAACTCATAAACCACATGGTAAATTTTCTTTAAATTTTGCATACAGGTGCATACAGGTGACATTTAAGGCATATAACTGTCCTATGTTGTCAATTTTACAGTTCCTTATAGTGCCCATTAGGGGTGTTCTACCTTAACACACTACTTAAGTGTCGTAAGGGGAAGCAATCGCATAGACAAGTTTTATCATCACTAAAAGTCATCTCCAACATCAATGCATACACCGTTTCTGAAGTACAATTAATTAGGCCTACTAATTTTCTATACACAACCCATTCCTGGCCAAATTAAAAAAGAAATTAACAGTTGATCTACTGCCAATCTAGATAATTTTGGTTTCCCCGCATGTTTTACACAGGGCTGCTTATTAGCCAGTAATTAGATTATTGTTTAATCACCGCTTTTTAAGTTGTTGTTGTTGTTGTTTTGGTTTTTTTTAAAGTGCTCGGCCCAGTTTAAATTTAAATAATCATTGAATAGTTCAAACATTAAAAGCAGTTATCAGAGATAGAATATAAATCTTATGTTCATGACTATATACATGCTTATCATGTCAAATCCGATCTTCTTAAACTTTACGGAATAAATAAGTTTGGTATGTGTATGTGCGTGTGTGTGTGTGTGTGTGTGCACGCGCGCGCGCGTGTGTGCGTGGGTGTGTCGCCCGCTTGCGCGTGCGTGTGTGCACGGGTAAGTCTGTGAATAAAAAAGACAGATAAATATACTAATATACTTACGTTTTAGACTGTCTTCACCAAATCTTATCTTCCTTTTTACACATGGCATCATGCTTACACATTTTGCGTTAATATGCAAGACGTCAAATATCGACCGGAGAAGAATAATCATAAATATGTCCACATGCCTGAAAGGATGTCGGCAGGACGCCCTTGTTTTTTTAAATTTCTCATAATAACTAACGTACAGTTGAGATAAGGTATATCAACATGCCAGGAAAGTTGTTGCCTTATTATACAGTTAGCGCATCTTAAATTGATGATTATAATTTAACTTCACTATAATTATGTTTACACTTTCTTACATATACTCGTTCATCAAATTACATTTTATTTCTGATGATGAGAAAAAACACGGAAACGTTTTCATTTGGGAGCATTCTGATTGTAATCCCGTCTTAAAAAAACGTGCTTCGGGACTGGTCAAAATATGTCTCTTGGTTTAATATTAATGTTTATATCTTCGCAAATATTTTTGGACGAAGTTGTAGGACAGATAACAACTTTTCTATCGATATATAAAATATGTCCCTTTATGTCAGTTTACATATAATAGGTACCGATATACCAATAACCAATAAAAATTGCGACATGAATTCAGCATTTTTGCCCCATGTTTACGAAAATTACTATACATGTAGAAGCTGAAATAGAATTGTGACTAAACTATTTATTTGGTAATGTCAATCAACAAAAAAAAAAACAAAAACAAAAAAACACACATTGAATATTTTGTTTGCTCTATTTATTGTCGTTTTTGTTTTGTTTTTTTGTTTTGTTTTTTGAATGGCTCGCTTAATTGTTTGGAACTGGTCAATGCGCCGGAACCGGTCAAACTACTGTATACATACGACGAAATTTAACGTGCTTTGGTAGACGCAATCGTCATGACATGGTGAAACAGTTTAAACTCCTTATTAATGACATTTTTAAATTTAAAGTACTTCGGTAGGCCTAGACCCACTTGCCATGGCATGATTTAATTAACAGTATAAAATTCTATAAAAACATTTTCGTTATAAGAAAGAGTTAGATTTCTGTTTTTGTTTAATATGAGAGTATATAGTATATTAAACTTGGTGTCAATTTATGGTGTTTCTAAATCTTAATTTTCTGTAACGTTTGGGAATCCTGGAAATATTGCTTGCTTGTGGTACTTGACCTTTTCCGGATAATGATGGGAAAAGGTCAACGTTGCAATTTACCGCCACTTATATTTGTATGAAGTCAGTGATTTTCGCTATGTTGAGTTTTGCATTATTATGATTCGGATTATTGCATCAATGCATCTAATATAGTATTGATTTGTTTGTGTTAATTAAAATATTCGCAACATACTTGACATAATTTTTGTGGACTTTTTACTTTTTCTTATTCATTTTATTCGCTGTCAGTAACCATATACATATATCTTAATGGGATAACCATAAGTATGCTTAAACACGGGTGTATGTATATTCGAGATTCATATGATACAAAACTATGTAATGCTTGATATGCAATGCTTGATTTGATATGTCATAATTACCATGTAAAGATACACATCTGAGTTTACATTAAACCTGGTGATATTAACCGGCTTGCTTTGGGAAGAAAAATGTCACATAAGGTTAAACGCACTTAAGGATAATTAGGATAATAATGATAATCGTGACATTGTTATCAATGTTTTAGCGAGTGTTGTATCAGTTAAAACCCTCCTGTATGATAAACACAATATAAACCTCTTTACTCTAAGAGGAGTTTGAAGTACATGGATTTAATTGATAGCCGTGTTGTACAATATTGATGTAGGGACAGTGTATATGTTTCATATAATATACAAATATATATATATCTAAATGTAGCCGATAAAACACCATTGTGTACAGAGGATTAATTTACCAATCAACATGGAATTTTCATTAAGGCTTGCATTTTATGCATCATATCTACATGTGTTCTCAAATGTATGTTTCATGTCAAATGGAAAGCCTGCTGGTATGCTCTACCCCCGGGATTCTGAAAGTCGATCATTACGACACCTGGACGGAATGTGGGGATTTATGATAGATGATTCGCCTTCAAGAAATGAAAGTTTTGTCAATAAATGGTACAGTGATCGTCTGTCACAGGTCAGTATGATTTTATAATAGCTTAGATTGTAAGTTGTAGCTTCTTGGTGGCTTGGATTTTGCAGCCTAATTCAAATAAAGACAAAAAACTGAAAAGCTATGTATTTCATTTTAATCTAATTATGATTTGATTATTTCTGAAATGTTTATACATCTTTTTATCGAAAGCGACTTAATCTGTCTGTTATTATAAGATATATTGACGTTCTGCATAAAATCGGCGGCCATATTTGACGCCATCTTGGATTCGGAAGCGTTGTGAAAAAGATCTGCATTTTTGTTTAGAAGAGACTATATATTTGCTCTGGTGTAAGTTTCAAATTTAGACATTTTTTATTAAATGGCCCCCAGATCTTAAGCAAAAATAGCTTAGTTTTCAGTAAAGGTCTGTTGAGCAACGGTAGATTGATTGGTTCGATTTCTGCTTGCTCAACAAATACCTTGCATATCGCCTGGTGTGCTTTCTTGAAGCAGGTTAGAGACAGCGCCATTTAGTAAATGTAAGTCCTTGTTACTTTAAAAAGTGTCAAAAGTAAGCGTCTCAATCCAGCGTTTACAAATAGAGTGTTTACCAAGAAAAATATTAGAGAATGTGTCGATATTTTGAGTTTTGTCTAAAAAAGTTTTACATTACATTGACAAAAGCAAAGATGACGATGCATGGAAAAAATAAATGTAAATTACTAACATTCGTTTATTCTTTTTAATAATTTTCGAATTGCTATACACAATCTATATCTTGTTCAACAGTTTGGAGACGTTATACCAATGCCAGTACCGTCCAGCTACAACGATATTACCAACAGCAAACTTGTGAGAGACTTTGTGGGGTGGGCATGGTATGACCGAGAGTTTTACTTGGACAACACGTGGTCAAACAAACGAATAGTGCTCAGAATTGACAGCGCCCACTACAACGCAATTGTGGTAGGTTTCTCAGTGTTAAAGGAACTAAGGTCAAAAAAGTTTAACCTAAAGCATAAAATTTGAATTTATTATATAGATCAGCTGGAGCTCTTAAAACAGAAAGATATGAAAGGATACTCTGAAGTAAATTGAAAATCGAATTTTTATTGCTATTCTTAGACAGATTTGAGTGAAAAACGTTGCAACGTTACGCTATTCAATTTCGGGAAATTTTTCACAATAAGAACATTTTTTCTAAAATAATAACGGCGTGAGCGAATGATTTATTCTGGCAGTATTTTCTTTTATCTTGCATTGATAATGAAAACATACTATAAGATTCGTCAATTTGTTGCATATAACTGAAAATAGTTCAAATAGTTTTGTTCTTTAACTCAGTCAATATTAAAGGGACTCCACTGAGATTTAAAAGCCTAAAAACATAACATTTGAATTTCTGACATAATGAGCTGGGGCACTTTAAACAGAAATTTTTGCAAAGATAATTAAGAAATATACTTTGAAATAAATTGAAAATCGTATTTTTATGATTTTCTTAGCCCGATTTGAGTGAAAAGCGTTTAAACGCTTTTCATTTCGGGTCTTTTTTTACAATTTGAATAATTATTCTGGAAAAACGAAGTGCGCAAATGATCTGAAGTTTTGCACATGGATTAGTGGTCTAAACCTACATCAAATGGTACATTTATTAGAAAAACTATTTTAAGTCCCATCATGTCAAAAAACCTCAGTGGAGTCCCTTTAATAACGCTTTAATGTCAAAGTTCGTTTGTTTTGATTTTAGTGGGTGAATGGACAGGAAGCAATGAGTCACGAGGGCGGCCATCTTCCATTTGAAGCGGAAGTGACGAATATGTTACATCTTGATGGTTCTAATTACGTCACAGTGGCAATGAACAATACGCTTACACCAACTACCCTACCACCGGGCGCAATCGAATACAAAACAAATCCAGAAAAGTAAATGCTAAAAAATATCATTTTTGATACAAAAATTGTAAGGAAAACTATTTCAGACTGGTCCATGATACAAGTAAAACTTGAACATGGCCATGACTTTAAACCATTCTCGTTAACTTAGGCATATTGTATCATATCCGTTAAAGATTTTATCAATAACGAAATGATCGATTACCACAATAGAGTGATAGAATGGGTGCACTTTTGAACAAACAACTGCATGAAAAAGTGCCATTCATTCAATATAACACTTTAATATAGCACCATATTTTTTCATGAAATAGTGATTGAAAACATTTAAAATCCTTAAAAAAATTAGTTCACGCCATAAGATTTATTACTTAAGACGGAGGGATATTTCTTTTTCCCGATTTTCTTACTCAAAACATCGCATAATATAATGTACCTGTAAACAGTATGTTTTGGTCTTCCTTTCCTGACCAATGATTCCACAAGTGTTTCCTTTTTATCTCTGTTTGATGATTGAATACCGCTTATGCCGGTGCTGGTGGTGGTGAATCATGAACTATCATGGACAGATTCAGTAAAACTGAGTCTGAGTTTTTCAACTTTTTTTTTTTCATTGCTGTCGAAGGATCTGTCCGTTCCAGACTTTTCACAATATCAGATTCAGATTTAGATTGTAAAATTTAATGCCCTGGCAATGAATTGAAAAAGTATCAATCTGCTAGTCTTAAATTAAATTGCCAAATAGTTTCTTTCTTTCAATGGTCCACATGTTACATTGTAAATGATCAATTTATTGTAGATACCCTGCTGGATATTTTGTACAAAATCTTCAGATGGATTTCTTTAATTATGCCGGACTACATCGTCACGTGACGTTATATTCAACACCAGTGACGTATATAGAAGATATAGATATCACCACTGACATTCAAGGAAATAATGGTAAACAATATAAAAAACACTATTTATTGGTTTATATTTAACCATAATTATCAATACTTTTTTCTATCTTTACTTTATAAGATGTATCAAGGTAAATGAATGAGTCCTTCGGAATCAGTGATAACAGCACATTACGTGTTGAAAATTGAATACCGCTCAGGCCGGTGTCAGAGGGTGCGGGGGATGTTGCACTTTTTCATTATCCCTATTGTACAGAATCTACCAAACTGGAAACTTTACAAGTTCATTTAAAGAGAATTTCACTAGGTTAAAAATAGATATGCATTTTGCGTTTCTGATTTTAAGTGGGAATGTTCCAAAAGTGTGCAGTACAAGACTTAATAACGCCCAAATGTTGGCTTTTTGTATATTACTTTCTATGAACTCTTTTCATTTTTATGGTTTTGCACGGACGATATTTTAAGTAACTGGAAAAAGTTCGATAAAATTTATAGAAGGAAATTTTTAAGGTCTGAAAACTTCAGATCTATATTGCAGATAAATATTGTTTCCCCAGATAAAACAATAAGTTCTACTTTTAATATGTCTCTGTTATTCTAGTCATGTTTAAATGTACTATAGTATAATTTGTTTACGGCTTTAATAACAGCCCTTTTACAACACAAATTTATCTTGAGTTGTTTATTGTTTTACAAGCTACGCAAACTCCTGAATCTATGTACAACCGAACCACCTGCCACCCATAAAACATACTTGTAATAGATTATTTTATTTTTGACATTAACGTGATGTTAAAAAATGTGTGCATGTAAAGTTTACACATTTGTTTATCTAATGGACTTAATTTAGTAACCTATACACCGAACCACTTGATGGCACTAGGCCTTAAAAATGCATAAAGATTATACAAGAACGCAGTCTGCCCTCTACCATAACAAAGATGAAGCACAGCAATATGATTTCGGATATCTTGTTCAACTCACCGATACGTTTTGTTTGAGTATATCTACTAGTATATCATATTCTGATTTATAATCTGCAGGTATAGTCAGTTATGTCATCTATTCTGGCGGCAAAGCTGACTTGATCAACATGAAGGTCGAGATCATTGACAAAGTGGGTCACGTGATTGCAACCAAAACCAGTTACAAGGGCACCGTAACCATTCCGGATGCAAACCTCTGGTGGCCTTATACAATGAACGTGACTAGCCCAGGATACATGTATACGTTAAAAGTAAAGTATTTTTTTATTATAAAAGCTGTCTTTGTTATTAAAATGTCTGAAGGGACACAATGTAAGTCTGTTTTGTTTGTTTTTTTTTCACGTTTTGTTTGTTTTTTTTCACTCTTAACTAATTTCATAAGAAGATGACATTGCCGTTCAAAAATTAACATATAAAGATAAACTCTTAACATATACGTTATATTAAAGTCACACAAAGCTGTGCTAATACATGTACTTCATTACAAGGCACTTAACGTAAGCAGAATGTCCTTCTTTGGTCGTACACTTTATCTAGGAACAAGATAGAGGGCAAAGTATTTTATTGGACTACATGCATATAGATCTTTCGTTGTTAGAAAACGTATCAAAATATTTTTTTATTAAATTAAACAAAACTTTTTATTGCACATAAAAAATATTTCATAAAGCGTTGTAAATACATTAGGCACATGAATGTACTGACTTACAAAAACTCTTAACAAAATTAATCCTAAAACATCTCATTTTCTTTCTTCTGTTTCTAAGGTTTCAGTAACAGACGACAACGGAGGTGTCTCTGATATTTACCGTCAGCCGTTCGGTATCCGGACAGTGAGCGTTACAAATAAAAGTCTCATTATAAATGACAGACCATTCTACTGCCAGGGAGTTAACAAACATGAAGATTCAGATGTAGGTACCTATTTTATTGCCTTTACGAGGGCTCAGCAGTTGAGAAACGTCTTTTCTCAGTTCTTAACACAAAAAAACAACAACAAAAAACAGTTTATATTATGTTATAGAAATTATAATCTGTTTTTTTATTTTTTTACTTTTGACTTATGACCATGAAAATTGTACAGTTTGTATTTGTTTAAATTGTATACATGTATAATGTAATAAACGATTTCATTCTCCTCTCCTTCTTAAGATGATGTAACATAATATTAAATAATGTATTTAGCATAGTTTTGTATAAAGCAAAAAAATACCCTTTTTATCTATTTATTTATAATAACTATTTTTTAAACACAAGAAGCATATTATAGCCTCTACTGCATACCGTATGTACATGTTAACATGTACTGTAAGAAAAGCCAAACAATACAAAAGAAAATGGAAACATGTAAACCAAAGAAACACGAGAGCAAGAACATTACCGTTTTTGCTTTCTTGAAACATCTTAATATGGCAGCTGCTCCATTAATTTAAATATGTGTTCAATTTTAATATGTGTTTATAATAAAAAGAAAATTTGTTTAGTTTAGTGTAAGATCGAAATATATTTCACCTTGTGAACACCAAAAGTTCATATTTCACTCGTGGCTGCGCCACTCGTGAAATATACCTATTGGTGCTCACTCGGTGAAATATATTCCGATCTTACACTGAATTAAACAAATATCCTCTATATCATCTAAACACCTAGGTTATCTCATTTTGTTTTAGATACGTGGCAAAGGTCTCGACTATGCCCTCATCGCGCGAGACTTTAACATGTTAAAATGGCTGGGGGTAAATTGTTTCCGAACATCACATTATCCTTATGCTGAGGAGATAATGGATCAAGCCGACCAGCAAGGTATCGTTGTCATCGACGAAAGTCCTGGTGTAGGGATCTCAAAGTAAATACAGAATATGATATTGATTGACATATATATCACCTTATAATATTTAGCAAAATCGTCCATGTATTCAATCACCCAAGCTCCGAAAATCAACCATTTTGTTAAGAGCAGTTTGCACCTTTTTTTCGATTACCTCTGCTCCTCATATTTCTCCTTCGTTGCACAAGATCCTCAATTGCGTTTTTATACCATTTTAGCAAGTATTTCCTCCGCATTAATCATTTTGGTACATATTAGATCTGACAAATGTTTGGATTTCATATAAACTATCGGATATATATCGTGGTATGTATTATTAATGAACTTACCAAATTATATATTATACACGAGTATTATACACGAGTATATGATATTCTGTAATAGTAAAACAATCTACGTCACTTCTTGCCAGCTTAATAAAATGTTTTAATATTTCATGAAAGTTACAAATGTATATGAAATACCAACTAATGTCAGATATTTTATGTACTTTGTTATGTCATCTAGTATTGCCAACCACATGACTACTGATACTATGTTGTATACAATCATGGTTATTTAAAGAAGGTTAATATGTACGATATGCCATGGTAATTTCAAGGACAAAGAGACTGAAGAGCTGCCGATATAAAAACACGAAGATTCCATGCGAAGACATTGATAAATCACGAAAGAAAAAGAAACAGAAATCATCTAGTCTGAAATACGATTTCTCCAAATCAAATTCGTTCGACCGCAAGAAAAGGAAGCAGAAGAAAGGAAAAATAAGTGTCACAATTAGGTAACCCCAAACACACCTTAACCTACGGACCCCCTAGCGTGATGTTATTACACACTTACTTGTTGATATCATAATATTAACATTTCATAATTTTTATTTCGTTTAAACGGAAAAAATACACGTGACAACCTAAATAATACGTGTGTACATACATGTATAACGTTACTAAAGGGCTTCGTATTACCTACCATTCCATGCTCGGCACTGCAACCTTGCACTGCTACATTGCTAAAACTTAAACATACTTTTTGAAACAGGATGTATAAAGCAAAACGAATGTATTTTATTTTATATAATGGTGATTATTGGAATGTAGAGGGATTATTGGAATCTGCTTACGACTTTTTTACAGATAACATACATTTCTTTCTTCTTTTTTTTTTAAATATTACTTTCAGGATGTTGAAATTAGATGAATACTTATGATTTGCTTACGTAGTTTATCGGTGTTAATTTCTAAGGTTTAAGCTCACTTGAGCCTCTAATAATGCTCACTGGGGCTGCAACGCAAGGCGACCAGTAAAATTCGAAAATAAAGTTGCCATATGATTTTGCCAATGGGAGTGTCTTTCAAACAATGTATTGCTCTGCATTATCAACAATGTAAATGCTTCTTTCGTTTAGTGACGACAATTTTAGCAATAAGTCACTTGAGCATCATAAAGCTGTTATGACTGAGATGTACCAGAGAGATAAGAACCGTCCGTCTGTCATTATGTGGTCAGTGGCTAACGAACCAGCAACAAATAAGGCAAAAGCAGGACCTTATTTCAAGTAAGTTTTTTTAACTCTACTTTATCTCAACTGAAATAAATTATTTGTTAAAATAAGGCCAACTAATAAAGCACAAACAGAACCTTATTTCAAGAAAGTAAATTCTCTTCTGAAATTAAAATTCTTTTTTAAAATACAAGGAGTTGAAGTTATGAGCAGACAAAATCAATCCGGCCGTTATTGTTCTAAGGAATCTGAATTAGATAGGCCCACATCTCAACAAGAGCAGTTCTGCAAGGGAGAGGAAGTGTAATTATCTGCATATTACCAAAAATTAGAGAGCCGATGTTTGGTGATCAATAATTTGAATAAATTTAAGTAAGTTTTATCTATTTTATTACGATTTTTAATCTTTAGTTATTGCCGTGTCATTGTTTTGTTTTCCAGGAGCGTTATAGACCACGTGCGGTCCCTCGATTCATCACGACCTGTGACGTTTGTCTGTAATCAGGACTACAACACAGATGTTGCGGTCTGTCATACTTGTGTCAAAGATTCTTTCTTAATCTTTACTATATTAGGCCTAATTTGTGAAAGTGAACTAGCTAACAGAAGCTAGTATAGTGGTCCTACCCAAAGCTTGGAGAATAATTAATGCACATTGAGGGCACATTTTGTGTCAATGCTTCTCTTACAGTAAAGCTGGAAAGTTGTCATTTGACATTAAGTGTGTCAGTGTCACTGAGCTCTCATTTAATAAGAATGTTGATATATACATGCACCAGTAAAGGAATTGTATGCGTATAATCTGTTAATATTTGATGATAATCTATTTTACTTGGGTTAAAACTTTTGTACAGTGGAATCCTGTGTAATCTCTTAACAGAAACAAGTTTTCAATCATTTTTGTTCATTTGGAACATGTAAAATATATTTGTATATGTGTAATCGTACTGGTACTAGAAAGTACTTAATTGATGTTTTACTCCACCAGACTCGGCGACGTGAAAATTTACATTTTAGTGCATAACCGGTACTATATAACTATTAGACAGTAATATTTGTTTTCACTCCCCAAGAATCGGCATTTAGCTGTGAACATATATACATTGTAGTGAAATACATGTAATATAAAATATCTGAACATGATAATGTTAAATCTACAGGTTCAGTATGTCGACATAATCCTTGTCAACAAATATTATGCGTGGTATTCAGATGTTGGTCACACAGAGTTGATTCAACTACAACTAGAGAATGACCTACGACATTGGCACGCGAAATTCAACAAGCCAATGATTTTGTCCGAGTATGGCGCTGATACAATAGCTGGCTTTCACCAGGTATAATTACGTGTCAAGAATAAAGGAGAAACTTTCATTTTTTAAAAATATCACATATATGAATGTCAAAAAGTCCAGGTTTTGAGCCAGAATAGCAAATATAAATCATAGTGTTAAATGAAAATATCTGAAATTGATTCAAATTAATCAACATTTATATGTTTAAATGTTGAGTTATGTTTAAGCCGGTGCTAGAGGTTGTTGACGGTAGATAACATTCACAACTACCGTCCGTGAGTAGGCACGATCAAACTTTCAATTTTGCCGTTTTGGACAACCTTGAATAAGTTTTCCATTCTGTTTAAATTACCTTTACTTTTTTTAAACAAGTTAGATGTGAATGAAATTCTGTATCATTGTCGCGTCAGTACTATAAGATGTGTACAATTATTAAACATTTTTATGTTGAAATCTAAACTGTTTCATATATATTTCATATTATATAGCATTTACTTTACCTCATCTTTCACACGCTCTTCTTCTATCTGCATCAAGATTTATAATAATAAAGGCTTTATTTAACGAGGCTACATATTCGCCAAAACGATCTTCCATATGTACCTCAACGCAAGGTTTCACATGTTATACATTATAATACAGGTACCAAGTTTTGTCTTCACTGAAGAATACCAACGGGAGTTTTTAGAGCAATATCACAAAGCGTTCGATACACTCTCATCAGAATTTCTAGTCGGAGAAATGCCCTGGAATTTTGCAGATTTCATGACTGTGCAAGGTATGGTACTTTTTCAAAATCCAAGGTATGGTACTTTTTCAAAATCCAAGGTATGGTACTTTTTCAAAATCCAAGGTATGGTACTTTTTCAAAATCCAAGGTATGGTACTATTTCAAAATCATAACTTTGTAAAAATGAAATTTACCATAAAATTAATTTGACTTAAATAATTAATCAGCATACCTGGATCAATATTAAACATGTTTTATATAGAATGTATTGTGATAAGAAACATTTTATACATCTTAAATGCTATTAATCCATTATTAAAACATTATTTAACATATGTTGAACATTTCTAAAGAATAAAAAAAAAACACATGAATTACGGAGGCATACTGTGCCTTTAAGTAAACGTACTATATGTTTCTGTTTTCGGGAGAACGAAGGTAAAACAATAAAATTATCAAGTTCCATGTTTCAATGAATTATTTTCATCGTATTGTTGCATACTTCGTAACAGAGCAGTAACAATTTTCTAGTTCTTTGTCATGATGTTTAGAATTCAATTACATATTAAGCCGGTGTTAGGGGGTGGGCTTGAAAGATATTGCAATTTACATTATGCACAGACTAAATAAAAGCGAATCTGTGATTTTCAACTATGTCATTTTGTTGTCATTGCTCTGAAGGGATTTCCCATTTCTAAATCTTCGTTACTATTTTTAGGCATTACACGTGTTGTTGGAAACAAGAAAGGGCTTTTGACACGTCAACGACAGCCCAAAATGTCTGCCCATTTGATACGTGACAGGTATATGAGAATGATTCACGGGGACACGTGTAAAAAATATTAATTTGTTTACACATTGCACTGTAATACTCCATATCTTGAAGTAGAATATCAATAATAGCTATATATAGTGTACAAAACTGTATGACAATACTGTGTATTGGTCATGGATATTTTTATATATTTTATTATTAACAAGAATGTGGTGTAAATGTTTATATCAGTTTTGTACAAATAAACTTATTTACTTTTAAACGTGTTTATTGTCTCAAAACAAAACATGATATTCTCATAAAATTTACACAGTGCAATCGCCATATCCAGCAACTTCTAGATTTCTGTGCGTACATTTTGCCTTCTCATACTCACAGCTGTAATGAAACAAAATTTTTCTTAAACTTTTGACAAGACCTCTTGCATAGCAAAGCCAAAGAATTTTCGTGCATGCGCGTTCTGCACAGGGCTAGCGCGTTCTGCATAGAGCAATAAAGCAAAATCGATACAATAGTGGGATCGAAGAATCAATTTCATAAGAAGAAAACAATTTCCGAAGTACAAAATCAATCTGTTTTTCAATCCAGTCGCTTTTCAATAGGCAATAAAGTAAACAAGGAACTAGATTGTTGCTAAGAGTATATGTTGTATGGACACCGCATCGCATATCGTGTATTTTTATTTTAAGTAATATAATGAAACATCGTATCAATACATATGATTTTACTGTTAAATCTATCCTTATAGAATCTTCCTCAAAGTTATCAAAAGAATAGAACTCTTTGAGGAGACCATACTACATACGAAACGAGTTCTGTTGTTAAACCAAATTATAAAACTGTAAAACGAATGTTCTTCTAGTAAATGGTGTACATATTGTTATGTAGTACCATGTAATATGTTTTGCTCTCGTTAATTTTGTCTGTAATACAGATATAAGAAATACGGTTCTTGCAAATAATGTCGGAACATTGTGCATTGTCCCTTGAGTGAAGCGGGCATATAAGATATATTTTTCAGCATCAAAGCGACAGTATGTTATTTGGTGAGCTGATCTTGTAGATTGTTATGAAGTATATATTATTAAATATAAATTTTGCAGTACTTTGATTATGTAGATTCATATGCCATGTGTTAAGCTATCGTAGAACACATAATGATATTTTGGGTTGTATTTGTTATGAAGTGTATCATGCGAGACACACTATCTGTTGCAGAAAATTGTGTTCATAATACAAACTCATTGTTCGATAAGCAAGCAAGTATGTTTAAAACTCTTAGGAAAACATATGAAGTCTATAAAAACAGTTCTAAAAATATGTATACGTACTAGTTGTCATACGTCCTTCCGTCTGTACCACAAACTTTATTTAATTCTGTCGGGCAGTTTTGCTTACTAAGAGTAGTACAGAAAAAGTCGATGATGACGACATTTCCGGCTACTGGTGCTACAGTAGAAATGTCCATGTTAGTGCAGTCCCCTTCATGAAGCACATTTATGGAAGGATCTTTGCAATGGGCTTTACTGAACTCACATCTGAAATAATTAAAAAAAAACTTATTGCATTTGTCTGTGTAATATTAACACTCAGTTCTTACTAAGAGGTGACGTACAACACCCGAGGTTACCCAAAATTTTCTAATCCTGTTTCGGCGCCATATTACCTAAACTACAAATCCGTAAAACCAAATAAACAAACTGTGCTAAATTAATTGAAGAATGTTGTTGTTTTTATTACTAGGCGGTTTAAGGAATTCTAACATTGGTTTGTCGTACAATTATTGGTCATAAAATGTTAATTCATAGTGAGGCCCAATCTTCTTGGATTTTTTTCCAAATTGTTTCGTTTTGAGCAAATATTGTTTAAATAGCTAGATAATCGTACAATAATCAAAATATAAAATATAAATATTTACTTGTTCTTGTAAGTTACAATATTTGTTCCACAGTAAGAGTTACTGATAAAACGGTCACATGATCCAAACGATTCAATGAAGTCACATCCATAGAATGTCGAAGACGTTTGGGAAAGCGCACCTTAACATAAAAATGAAAAAAAAACACTTCAATTTAAGATATATATATATAAAGCTCAAATTTGCTATTTCAAAAGAAATGATAGAATTGCTACAGTCTCTCTGTAAAAGTAAGGAAAAAATGTTTAAGTAACACACACAGTTGTTTAAAAACATGTTTTAAATTCTATATACTTTAGGTAGAAACAGAATGAATATATCGTGTCATTAAACAAACTGGCGCCATGACTTGACCTGTAATGGAAAAAACAGATTTCAATACATAATTTGTATATTCTCATACTCCAATTGACATTTTCTTAGATTTGAATAAATTACTGCAATAAGAGTATTTGTCACAGTATTTCTTTTAGTCTCCATATAATTGAAATTCTAAAATATAATGGGTTTTTGGTATATCTGTTTGTATATCTGTATCATAGTTTCGTTAAAATGAGCTATCAAGGACATAATTTCATTTGTTTCATTTGAACAGGATCCTGATGATAAGTTAGTTGTGATATTGCAAGGTCAACACAGGGCCATACAAAGTCCTATATGAAAGAGCCTAGTTTACACCACACCAAAACCTTATATTTTATCTTTCACTAATTTACATAATAAAATAAATAAGAAGGAAACAGATGATTGAATATTTCGGCATTTGCATCATGCACATTATAATGTTATATTATAAGCAATATTTTGATTTCAATTTATATGTTAAATCAATAAGATTAAAGACACATGGCTTAATTAGACTGATTGACTGAATGTATTTGTTCTTGGTAAGTATTCAAACCCTGCTATAAATGATGGCTCAAACTGCTTATCGTAAAGGATTTAAATCAGATTTTCTTAAATACACATAACAACAACAACACTTGATTTTTATAAAATTATGTCCTGGCTGTCTCTTTAAAGAGACAATCATGTGTAATGGTTTAACTTTCCATTTGATTTTTCCGTACATCCTTTTTCAATAGCAATAATACGTAACATCTTACCTTGTGCAAATATCAGACAAACAAGAATTTGAAGAAACATTATCCTACTTTATAATCAAGAAAAGCCTTAAGTCATTAATGTTTCTATGAGAACAGAACAACGGTTTCTTTCTCTTGACAAACAAATATCTTATCAGTTAGTGATGATGTAAGATTTTTGTAACGATTTAATCGGTAAAGTCAACCGATGACCAAAACAAGAGCATGTTATCTTCAAAATAACTTTTAGACCAAATTAATTATCACGACATATGACCTTTGCAAGTGATTTTGTACATTTAGGTTCATTTTAATCTTAGATTTTTTTCTGAACACAAATCAATCAAGAAATTATAAGATAGTTTGTTGCAAAACCACTTTGTTCCCATAGTACTATTAGAAAATGGAACATAGCATCAATTAAGGTCTTGTGTGTGTGGTTTATGGTTTTTAACATATTCATTTAAGTTCCTTGCAACTTAAATTAATCATGATTCCTGGGTTGAGAGGCAGACACTTTTTAAAAACACTAGGCCACCGCTCCCCTTCTGCCAAACTGGATTTAGATTAACAATTATAACAATTAAACTAAAATAGCTGAAATTGGCACTGCAGTCAACATATACATGTAGTTTATAATTTAGATGTTAGCTCAATGAAAACATTGATATAGGTTGTATGCCAATTTGAATTCAATATGTATCGTCCAAACACATCATGTGTTTTCTACGAAATTGTAAATAATCTTGTTGAATATGCATTTTAATTTTTTCAGTACGTCTTATAAATAATGTTGAACAGTAGTAGAGATAAATTATGTAAGTGGATGGTTAACTCAGTCACATAAAACGGTATTTCGAGTGTACTTGGTTCGAGTTCTTGTCAGGGTTCATTTTTCCCATGCCCTGTTATTCTGCGACAACGTGGTTTTAATTGTATTGAAAAAATACTGTGAGTTCGAAATTTATCTTTTTCCAATCCTTCGGTTAAAATAGGCCCATGACGAAAACCCGCACAATACTATACATGTATATAGACTAGCGTTTCAAATGGAAGTTGTTAAGGTGCTAAATTGGTTTACGAACGTAAACCACTGAAATAATGGTGGCCAATATAAATCTAAATACATTTGTATTATCTTTCTCAATTTATTTAGAGTTGTATATGGAACGCCAAATAAGCATTCTCCTACATGGTTATTCTAACTTTTCCCGATTATTTGAAAGTATTGTTGTCATTTTCAAATATAGACTATAGAACCCCTGTCTTGATTTGAATTGTTTTAAATGGTTTAAAAATGCACTTTAATCTATATCAATCGTATCTACCAAAAGAAACTTAGTTACAGTTCGCATAAATTAGTTCATTTACTATATATACACGGAAATAGTACATGTAGCAAATGTGTCTTTTTCTTTGCAGAACATTTTACGTCATTTAGTATAAATTTCCTATCTCTGACCATCGATCATATATCAGGTCGAAAGTATACAAACCAATTAATTTTTAAGCGCCCCCCCCCCCCCCCAAAAAAAAAAGTGGCTACAGAAGGCTATGTTAGATTTATAAAAACTACTGTTAAAAAAATAGTGAAGTAGTGGTTTAAAACTTAATTGTACCTTATTAAATGTTTTACCTTAATAGCTGCTTTAAGCCGCTTTAATTATACGCAAGGGATCTAAATTATACTTATAAGAGTATCGAACTGTTAACTAATTTTGGGAGTTTAGTGTGTGAATAGTTCAGGCGTTAGTGCCGTGGTACGTTTTTCCGAGGGTCCTGGGTTTGAGGCCCGGTCAGGCTGCACATTGTTCTCATATTGACTATCATTTGACGTACTCAAATTGTTCAGCACCTAGAAAGTATGCTATCGCTAAAAAGACGAATCGTAAAATGTTCACATTAATTTTACATGAAATCCAACTAATTAGTTTACTCATACAGAGCTAAATATACATAATTATGTAGATCGATAAAAAATATTTGGTGGCGTTCAACCACCTTACAACAAATCCTAGAAATATTTAGTGTCGGTCATTATTGCAACGGGAACCAGACAAACAATATGGCAGCGCCCATACGTGGAACGAAAACAATATAGAACTTTTACAGCTGCTTATTCATTTATTTATGAAATTAAGGTAATTCATTATTTTATTGTAGATTTTTAACTATGTGACTTATTCAGTAATCAAACTGTTTTGTTTCTGTTACATATCTTGGAAAAAATTTGTAGAGAATTCGCCCCATTGACAATTCGGCCCATATTTTAGACTACATTTTGACAATCAGGTTTTTTTTTAAAACAGCTTTTCACTGAACATTGTTGACGAATTTTTAAAACAAGGAATATAAATGACATATTTTAACAAAACTCTGGATGTAACTCAGTCTCCTCTTTCTATTTCCAAGTCAATATAGGGCTTGTTATAGTTTAGGTCGGTCTAGTCCTTAGTCCAACTAATTGTACTGCGCGACGAGATATTGTGCTATTTTCGTGTCTGGGCAATATCTCGCCTCTAGAACGAAAATATCTCAGAATCAAGCTTTGGCACGTCAATATATTTTGACTAGGAAATCAGATAAAAGAAATTTGTCCTTTTTATTTTGGAAGTGGCTAGCCGTACGGGCCCGTACGGCTAGCCAAAAGTTCTAGCCGTACGTGAGTCACGTACGACTAGCCTGGACACACTGTATTTGCTAGCCGTACGGCACTTTTCAAAATTATATGGAAGTCGAAATGCATCTTTAAACGACGATTTTAATGAAATCCCCGCATTTGTCCTAGTGTGTTCACTTTAATAAAGATAAATCGCAATTTAATTTTGCAAAAAAAAAATAAATATGAATACGAACAATTAAGCGTTGTATACTGTAATCTAACTTTACAAAATTGTCAAAGTTGTATGTTATAACGTCCTTGATTTTCATGCTTACGATTTGTATGAAAGATGAATTGTTAAATCTGCTAATTGAGCACATGGATCGAATAAATAATGATCGGAGGGGATTAAATAAATAAATAAAAAGAATATTTAAAAAAAACGGTGAAAAGGAAAATAATTTAATAATGCAAACTTTCCTTAATGATGGACGATGGACAAACTTCTATAACGTCGGTAATTGACGCAATTATCAGAGCCCAACAACAATTATTTTCGGTGTTTTGTTGTTTTTTTTTGTTTTTTTTTCAATTTAAAAATTAAACTTAATGAAACAAAAAAGGATTATTATCAAAATTTTGTCAACTATTTCAATTGATGTTATTTAACTGCAACCAAATGCTATTTTTTTCTCGACGTCTTGAGATGACAAAGTACATTCTTTGCTGTAGCCAACACGTCGATTAATCTCTAAAAAGTAAACATTCTAGACTAAAATCCTCGCTTAAAGTCATAAAATAAAATACGCACTATCGCCTTCCATATATTTTTGAAAAAGTGTAGTACGGCTAGCCAATACAGTATGTCCTGGCTAGTCGTACGTGACTCACGTACGGTTAGAACTTTTGGCTAGCCGTACGGGCCCGTACGACTAGCCACTTCCTTTTATTTTACATTTTTCGCTTTTAAAAGTGGCATTCAATATTTCAAGCACTGTATTCTGTTTTCAATCTGGTTACTCTGTAGCCGAAAAGTTGCGATTGGTCTGTTATCAGAATACCCAGCCATGTATCATTGAGTTTTATTAAAAATGGCTGAACCCGTCAAGAAATAATACTGATAATAACATTGATAGGTTACACTAGGAAGTCAAAGGCCTGGACTGTGAAGGGGGCCCAGGCTTCGGCTTGCCCGACTATAGACTACACATGTAATACGGGGTGGTGTATTTGGTAAAGGAACAATCCCACCTTTTTGGATTAATCATAATTGTCAAGTGTGCCAAGTGAAAATAAAAGCAGTGCATGTAATACCAAATGACTCCTTTAAAACAGAAAAATGAACGATATTTTTACCGGCTTCCCCGTTTGCCTTATTTAATTATTAAGGTAGAGAATTCTGTATTTTTTTTTTTTTTTAATTTGATTTCCTTATAAATATGCACATATAGTTTATAGCCTCGGGGTCCCCGTCTTTGACTTCACTGTATAATACATTTTTTCAGGCTTTGATTTGAATAAAAAAAATATAGATATATCTTTTTATAGCACACCTAGTGACCCTCAAACATCAACATATTTATACAAATAATTGGAAACTGGCACAGACCAGGCCAGTTATACAATTCTATTCACAGGTCTCTTGCAGAGAAATAGGTAATTACTGATTTATTCAGGAAAGTCTGTTAGGAGGAACCACTGCCGAGAAATGATGATAAACATATGACTGTTTATGTTGGAGTTAAAATCTAGTAAAACAAACTAACAAAACCTAAATTTTTGATTTCAGCAATCATTTGATATCTAGGTGTTAAAAGAGCTGGTAAAGATGGGGGAAAACAAAGATTCAGGAGACCAGAAGCTTCTTGCTGGAGCTGTTAAAGCAGCTTCATTCAACATGGTACTACAGGTAATATCAAATTACAGATATTTTTATTTTCACTCATACATATGTGGCCAGGAAAATGATAAAACATTTTTATAATGTTCTTGTAACACAAAGCATTTGTAGTAAATCTGTTAATCTAGTCAAAATTGTGATCAATATTAACTTTCTCAAATAAATCCTTACCCATCTGGTGGTTATTGAATCTACCAGTGTGACCAGAAATGTCCAAGAATAACCAATGCATTTGTGCATTCTTAATATGCTCTATACTGTTCACTATTCAGTTAGTACAGTATATTTTTTTTAAATTTCCCTGAAAAATGACTAATGGCTTTGTCTGGATTGAAAAATGAACATGTCCATTGAAGTAATTTAGGATGATAGAAGTGATAAAGACCACAATGAATGTAGTGGCTTGGAATCTACCTTATGAAGAAACTGTTCCTGCTAATGCTAATTGGATTATTGCTTGTCAACATAGGTCATAGTAGTGGTGACAAAATATATTTCAATCTTAAAGTGATCTATAGGCATAATCTGGAATATAGACTTATAAATTCTTTTCACAAATAAGCACTGTTTTGAAATGAAGAACACTTGGACTGCAGAAACAAAATATTGTTATTAATCCCATTTATTATGCAGATTTCTTTATTTTTGTAAAATCCAACTGTTAGCTTATATTATAAATATTCTAAAACAAACTTTTTTTCTGTAAAATCCTATTTTGTTCTCTTAACTATAGGAACAAAATTTGTTATTGATTTCTTAATTAACTTTTCTTATTTCCTTTTCTTCTTTTTTCTATTTAAAGCTGATGCTGAGAATGATGACATTTGCTATAAATGCCTTCGTCCTCCGCTACATCTCTCGTGACATGTTGGGTGTGGTCAATGTCAGGTTGACGTTATTGTACTCTACAACACTGTTCCTGGCCACTGAAGCATTTGATAAGGCATGCCTCAGCAAACTTGAGAAACAAGATTGGTCAAAAATCATCAATCTGATGTGGTGCACGTAAGTTTAAGTTGCTTTTTTTTTGCTTTGTTATGCAGGTTAAAGCATTATTATTAAGGTTTGAATTTTGTTATGAGGGCTTGAGCTTTAAGGTTTAAACTTTGTTATGATTATTATTAAGGTTTGAAAATTGTTCTGAAGAATTGAGGATTATTATTAAGATTTGAACTTTTTAAGAAGGTTTGAGTTTTATCATGAAGCTTTAACCTTTGTTATCAATGATTGAGCATCATTGTGAAGGTCGAGCTTTGTTATTTAGGTTTTAAAGGTTTGATCTTGGATAAGAAAATTTGAGCTTTATTATAAAGCAAATAACCATTTAAACACAACCATATTATCCTCCAAAAGGTATTTATATCACAAATTTATAATTGATAATACTGTACAACTGCTTTCTATGATGAAGATAAAAAATCATTTTTTATATTTGTTAATAGTATAAAGATAATAAAAACTTTACCATTGTCCAATTAAACTTTATGTTACAAATGTGCAATACTTCAAGAATCTTTATAATGTTCTTCATAATGTTTAAATCTATGTTTCAGTGATTTTAAAATCAATGCTGACTTAATAATCTATAAATTGATTTCTTACAGGGTACCTGCTAGTATGATTGTGTCACTGGTCCTTGGCTGGGCTTGGATTTTCCTGTTGGAGAAACCAGACTCGAACCTTGTACCTAGTTACAGTGTGGGTGTAGTCAGTTTTGCCGTATCTACAGTTCTTGTGATCTTGTCAAGACCTCTGTACATAATCGGACAAAAGTGTATGTTTGTAAAACTTAAAGTAAGTATGTTGTTGTTGATGTTATAAATACTTTAATTGTTTTACACAGAATTACTTTTAGTTTGATTGTGTAGGAAGCTATATGAATAAAGACACTCTCTCGAATCTGTTCCTGGAATCAACCAGTACTGAGCAATGTGAGTGTGAAGTTTCTTGCTTAAGTAACAACAGTTTTTTTTCCTGACTGTGATTGAAGCCAACCATGTAGCAATCCTTTAAATACTAGTCCAACCACTTGTCCAAGCCAACACATACATACTTGTTACTGAAGAAGCTACCTTTCATATGAAGAGATAATGGTTTAATCAGAATAAATGCCAATGCCTGAAATAATGTTCATGACAGACAAATTTGTGCCTTATTCTCCCAATATAAATATAATTTTACAGTGATAATATGACAGTCACTAAGTGTTGGTCGGCTTATATTTTACCAAGATAATAAAGGAAGTATTGAAAATTTAACAGAAATTGAGTGCGGAAGGTAAAAAGTGACATAATTATATAGTGACACATTATATAGTGACACTCACAGGCTGTTCAAGCTGAAAAGATACTCCCAAACTCAACAAAAGCAGGTTTTCCTCCAATCTTATCCAGGGGTACATATAAACTCTGACAGTAACAATTTGGTAATAAATTGATGATAAGAGCAATATGTTGATCCCTCTATTGCAAATGGTAAAGAACCTTGAAGTTATAAGGGTAAAAGTTTGAAGAACTCTGTGATGAAATGAGAAAATCCCACATTTGCCAAGTTTCAGATAACATCTATAATGCTTATCTTCAAAAGAGCTTTGTTGAAGTTTTTAATCTTGCCACACACTGAAAAGCTATTACATTTTGAAATAGAAAAAAGATTGATACCTTATAATTACTTGTGAATTTGATCATTGAGACATCACCACATGCCCCTCACTGCTGTGTGTTCAAATCCTGACAGGACCTTTGGATTCTTTCATGTGAGGAAGCTATACAGCTAGCATACGGAACGTCGGTGGTTTTACTCAGGTGCAAGTTTGTGCCTGAAGTAATGCACAGAAGGGCACTTGAGGTCATCATTCACCAGTAAAGCTGGAATGTCACCATATGACCTGTAATGTGCCTGTGTGACGTAAAACCCAATCAAACAAACAAACATTGAAACATCACATTAAATTGTTGTTTATTATGCGGCTCATTTACTTTGAGTAATGATAGGCAAATATACAATATACAGCCCTAATATTTAATATATGAAATTATGCACATTAGTTTAAGTTCAATTATAGGTAGTTAACTGAGAGCTGTCCTGCCTAACTCGCACCATATCTTTTAGACTATAACTTATTTATAAAGATATTTAATCTATCTCTAAATATAAAAATATTATGAAAAATATTTTTCTCAACCACATCATGTGAGAAGGTTCCCTATCTAGAAAACTTATCAGAATAACCACCTTGAACAAAGAATTTTCATGAAGAAATGTTGTTCTTATATAATTTCTTTAGTACCTTCCACTTAAACCTTGAATTTTCCTTATTAACTCTATATCTAGATTTCAAATATCAAATATATGTTCATTATTAACATCTTTATCATATAGTAAGATAATTAAATATATTAATTAGTTTAATTAACATATTTATCTAATAAACATATCTATCTAATTATTACATAATAATGTTTTTTATTTTCAGGTATTGTCAGCAGGTGTAGCAGAACTCAGTAAATGTTTATTAACTATTGTGCTCGTGATTTTTCTCCCACAACTTGGTCTCATTAACTTTGCAATTGCTCAGGTAAGGGAATAATTTATATGACAGTTACATGTACTTTGACAGAATTATTCATTCAGTTAGAAAGAAAAGTTTGTTCCTGTGAGTGCTAAGTGTATTTATTTCGAGGAAAATTTATAGAATATTGAAAGAAAAATTTAAATAAAAAAATGAAAATTTTGCGTGTGTCTCCCTAAATAGGCCCATTATGCCTTGGAAATGCTTTTATTTCTGTTTAATGTTGGTGTACTTTTATAGAATCCAAAAAGTAACTCATTGGCAAATTACCCAAACCATCTTTTTCATCTGTTGTTTTTTTTGGCAAAAGGTACATGCAGAGACAAAGATAACACAAACCTTGCTAAAATTGAAAGTGATTAGTTTGTCATCATGCAATATCAAGCCAGGCCAGCAGTCTTGACCAGGCTCTTTATTACTCTTTGCAGCTTAATTTTGATATGCTATGTCTCTGGTACATGTACAGTTATAGTGAATTAGTATTTTGTGTGAAAGTCAAAATACTACTTTGTTCACATTTTGATACTTTTATGACAAATTATTTCACATTTATGTAACAAGTGTCTAATATTCTCTGAATCTATTATCTAAACATTATAAAATTTGCTTGCCTTTCTAAAGAAGTTAAAATTTGTTTGTGTCTGAGGCATTATGTGCCTTTAAATATTTTTTTCCTTTAAGTTCATCTTTTGAAAATTTCTTCTGGGGTTGCAGCTTCAAATATTTTGAATATGTTTCATACATAAATATAAGTTGTTATGATAATTTTACAGGTGGTATATGGTCTGGTTATGAGTGCAGTGTATTATGGGTATTTTATTTTCTACATCAACAAATACGGCAAGAAAGATGATAGTTTTCCTTTTACTTCTGTGAAACAGTTATTTCCATCTAAACAGAAAGATACAGTAAGTATTGCAAACAAAACTAGAGTTAAATCACCATTCTTATATCACTTTGCATTTATTACTGTCTTTTTAGCTCACCTGTCACAAAGTGACAGGGTGAGCTTTTGTGATCGCTTTTCGTCCGGCGTCCGTCCGTCCGGCGTCCGTCCGTCCGTAAACTTTTACTTTAAATGACATCTCCTCATAAACCACTAAGCCAATTTCATCCAAACTTCACAGGAATGTTCCTTTGGTGGTCACCTTTAAAAATTGTTCAAAGAATTTAATTCCATGCAGAACTCTGGTTGCCATGGCAACCGAAAGAAAAAACTTTAAATATCTTCTTTTAAAAATCCGAAAGAGCTAGAGCTTAAATATTTGACATGAAACATCTTATAGTGAGTGTCTACCAAGTTTGTTCCAATAAAAGCCCTGGGGTCAAAATTGGCCCCGCCCCAGGGGGTCATTGATTTTCCCTATATGCATATAGTAAAAACTTAAAAAAATCTTCTTTTAAAGAACCCAAAGAGCTAGAGCTAAGATATTTAGCATGAAACATGTTCTAATGGGTGTCTACCAAGTTTGTTCAAATAAAAGCCCTGGGGTTAAAATTGGCCCCGCCCAAGGGGGTCATTGATTTTCCCTATATGCATATAGTAAAAACTTAAAAAATCTTCTTTTAAAGAACTCAAAGAGCTAGAGCTAAGATATTAAGCATGAAACATGTTCTAATGGGTGTCTACCAAGTTTGTTAAAAAAAAAGCCCTGGGGTCAAAATTGGCCCCGCCCCGGGGGTCATTTATTTTCCTTATATGTGTATAGCAAAAACTGAAAAATCTTCTTTGAAAAAACCCAAATAGCTAGAGTTTAGATATTAAGCATGAAACATCTTCTGGTAAGTGTCTACAAAGTTTGTTCAAATAAAATCCCTGGGGTCAAAACTGGCCATGCCCCAGGGGTGTCATTGTTTTTAACTATATGTGTATAGTAAAAACTTAAAAAATCTTCTTTTAAAAAACCCAATGAGCTAGAGCTTAGATGTTTAGCATGAAACATCTTCTTATGGGTGTCTACCAAGTTTGTTCAAATAAAAGCCCTTGGGTAAAAATTGGCCCTGCCAGGGGGGGGGGAGGTGGTGGTGGGGGAGGGCAGAGGTCATTGTTTTTCATTATATGTGTGTAGTAAAAACTTAACATCAAGAAACATCTTCTAATGGGTGTCTTCCAAGTTTGTTCAAATAAAAGCCCTGGGGTTTAAACTGGCCCTGCTCCAGGGGCCTATATACAGGTGAGCTACCTCAGGGCCATCATGGCCCTCTTGTTAATGGATTAAAAGGGTTTCCACTAAGGTTTTGTTTTAACACACAAAGACCTTCATTGATATCGGAATGTGTTGTGGTATGGTGTTGACCTTTTGTCTTTCATCAGACAATTGATTTCCCGATAACTTATGAAAATATCAACAATTGTGGTTATGTTTAGCATCTTAGTATGCTATATCAAAACATAGCTAAAGTTTGATTTTCTCTGTAATCAACTCCTTATTGATATAGAGTTATGCCCCCTTTTTAAGGAAATTTTCTGTGAAAATTACTGATTTCCACCAAAAAACTTTTGAAGAATTTCTGTGGTTGTGTTTATTATGTTTGGCATGTAAGTATGTTATTTTACAACTTGTGTTTCGTTGGATGTTCACTGCAATCAACTCATTGTTAAATAGAGTTTTGCCCCTTTGTTAATCGTTTTTTTAGTGTAGTTATTGGTTACTGCATGATATTTTATTTAAGAATTTCAATGATTCCCACATATATTGTACATTTCATAACTAATATTGATTACACTGTGTAATTCAAAACTTAAAAACTGTGTATTTTATAACTTATGTATTATGTATTAAGTTATAAATTGTCCATTTCATAGCTTACATACTGTGTATTTTATAACTTATATATATTATATTATGTATTTCAGTCATTTATAGACCCTCATCAAGCATGGCTGACATTTAGCATATTCAAACAAAGTTTCCTCAAGCAGATTCTTACTGAAGGTAATGTTTTTTTCCTAGAGTTTTGAATCTTTAAATTAAAGCGGCCTTCAGCTTTTACTTTCAGTTAGAAAAACAATTATTCTGTGTTGTTTCAAACTAAGTAATTTTATCTTGAAAAAATCTCAGGTTATGATACATATATAGAGGATATTGAATGAGTGTAGTTTAATACTAACTTTATTGAATGAGTTGAATAAAATCATATTATGCGAGCCTCTGGCGAGCATAATATTGTTTTATTCAACGAGTTCAATAAATTTAGTATTGTATCTACATGAATATAATATTCTATTTATCACATATATAAAATAAGAACAGTAAACTGTTAAAATAAGTAATTTTTCAATGACCCACCTACAGTGTAATGCTAACATTAGCGCGCTTTAACGCTATGTTTATATATAGCGCAAATGATGTCACGTCAAAGTATCGTTTTTTTTATAAAATGGCTTTATTACTCCTGTCCCGCAGTTTATGTGATAAAATTTAATTCAATCATGTCTGATATAAATCCGATGAATAGCCAATATTTGGGCTATCAATTTCTAGCTAAATTTCTGCCCTGTTGGGCAGTTAGATGCTTAAAGTTCTGACAATTCACCCAACCATTAAATCGGTAATGCAGGGACATGTGAAAGACAAAAACACCTAATTCCCCCTACTATCCTCCAGACTTCTATATGGATACATGAAGGAAATTGGGATGTGCATGACTGGTGCTTGTCATTGAAATTTTAAGTGAAGAAAAAAAATGACATAGTGATATTGGTTATCAAATGGTTTACCATGGACTTTTATATGTCATTGAACGATTTAATATTTCATTCATATATATATGGCAATAAAAAAAGTAAGAATAACATAATTTTAATGATGTGTATCAGTTGATGATGACTCTGTATTGTGTAACACTGAATTTTATTACAAATTTTATTCTAAATTTCCTTTCAGGTGAAAAGTATGTTATGACTATATTTGGTGTTTTAAGCTTTGCAGATCAAGGTTTGTTTGTTTCCTAATATTAAAATCTTATTTTACCACAATTGACAATATATCTGTTATGCAAAATTTATAGGTATCTGCTGTATGATAAAGCTGATATGATTGAACCAATGTATATTAATATACAGAAATTTAACGACCTGTAAATTGCTTATTGAACGCCAGTGGTTCTGTGCCTCTGTTGACTTAAGCTACTTTTTGGGTAAAACAAGTAAATTGCTAAAGACATGTACAGTGCCATTTGGAAGCTGTTCAAATTATCTCTTTTCTGTGCTTTAGTGTAAATTACATGTATATTTATGAAAAATCAGTGATTCCTATACTACTGCAGAACATTTGCTACATTGTTTGTACTACTTTAATAAATGTTGTTTGTGGATGAAGAATATGTTCCATATACTGCTAAATCTCATGACCAAACCAAATATCAGCTGGATTGTTTTCATTTTCAATGTAGGGAAATTCAAGATTTTTTAATTTTACTACAGTCAACTATCGTTATCTGGACATCGCTTTTCTCGATATTTCGTTATCACGATGAAATTTTTGAAAGTCCCGATTTTCTTCCTTCTTTATCTTTATTGGAAATATTTTTTTATCTCGATATTTTTATTTCGATATTTTCAGTATCTCGATGTAAAATTTCAGCTCCAACAGTTATTTTCACACTATTATCCTTTGTTTATCTCGACTAATAGTTTTCTTTCATCTGTTCCCTTCAGAAAAACATTTATAATCTGGACAATAATTGCTCAATAGCGCGTGATGATTATGTTTTTAACAAGTTTAGCTGTTTTTATAAAAGTTGATCTATTTAGCGTGTTGATTGACTTATGTCCAAAATTAGTGAATGTTATGTTCTTTTTAAATATTCGAACTCTGTATCAATTCATTATGACTTTAAATGTAAACGAAATAGTGAAAGTATAGAAATGTTATCGTTGCAATATTGTTTCACAACAAAACCACCAATCAATCAGCGATCGAACAATCTCCAGACCCGATAAATAACCCGGGAGGAAATCCGGATCAACCACCCTGAAAACAAAGTTTCCACTATATTGGTGTATTACTGAATCACTATGTGTTTTTATCACAGACTACCGTATTTCTGCCAGTAAACATCCGCTAATGTTACTTTGTTAAATTTGACTAGACCTATGGAAACAAGACATGGGGATATCATAGTTTATTTGACATAAGGTATGCACATGTCTTTTTGTAAAAATCAATTTCTGCCTTATTCAAACCCTAATATGTTTATCTCGACATTTCGTTATCTCAATATATCTTGGACGGTCCCGATAACTTCGAGATAACGAGAGTCGACTGTACTATTATTTACATTATTTTTGTTGTTCTTGAAGGACCCCTTTAGTTTAAAATTTGATTAAAATTATAATTGAATTAATTTCTAATAGAAATTTTGATTGTTTATATTGTAGGTATCTATGATATAGTGAACAATCTGGGATCCATGGCTGCACGTTTTATATTCCAACCCATTGAAGAAAGTGGTTACCTGTTTTTCTCACAGCTCTTAGTAAGAGGGGAACCAGTCAGTAAACAAAAACAGGTGATTTATCAATGTACAGCAGCTTTGTTTTGATTTATGAACTATCTCAATTGTTGATACTGTGTAATTGATGTTAAAGTCTAGTTAATATTCAGCTATTTTGGGCTCCAGCCTGACTCTGTTGTAAGGCTACTATAGCATGTTTTGACATGGAATGTAAGAGTCTTTTCTATCATAAAGGATTTAAATTATAATCAACGGATTTTATGAAGCCTGAAGTCATCCACAAAAATCAAAATACATGTAATTGTGTCACATGCCTTTTATACCAAACACTGGTAATAAATAGAGTATATTAAATGAGTGTAAGTTCAATACTGAATTTATTGAACGAGTTAAATAAAATTATATTATGCGAGTCTCTGGAGAGCATAATATTATTTTATTCAAAGAGTTTAATAAGAAACTTACACGAATATAATATTCTATCTATCATATACCAAAAGTATAGACCGTTTGAAGTGAAAACGAACCATTTTTCATTGACCCGCCTATAGTATAACGCTAACATTTTGCGCATCCTAAAGCTATTCTTATATAACGCAAATGACGTCACATCAAGCCTTGCAATACTATATTTACGGAATCACAAAAACAGCACGGGTATATGATAAAAAGAAATATATCATGATAATATTACTTGAAGAACAAATAACAACAACAGCATATTTACTTGATAATAAGGCCACCAGCCCATTATATACAACACAACACAAGACAAGAATCAATTTACATCCTTCGATTAACATCATTTGATATACAAGTGTGATGTAGTGAAAGAAAGTACAATAATGTCATAGAGACTCATAGGGAAGACTGGGCATGCCTAGCCATGTTGCCTCTTTAAATAAAGTCATTATTATAAATATTATTTCAGGAATCGTGTCAGTTAGCTGTTGACGTGATGTCATGTTTGTTGAAGCTAGTGATATTGATTGGTGCTATTATACTGGTGTTTGGTATACCGTATTCCTATCTGGCGTTAGATCTATACGGTGGTACCATGCTCTCATCCGGGTCAGGTATGTACAAATAGCAGTTTTATTAAGAAGGTTTTTGAACAGAAAACTGGAGGATGGGTAAAAACAATTTCTGCCTTGTGCCAAAATGCCATAATAACAAAAGATGGGTGAGTTATATGGCAAATGAATATTCTTATTGAAACTGTAGGGCTCACCAGAACGGAAGGTTCAGGATGAGCTATTAGTATCAAAGGGGGATGATCTGTCATCCATCGTCCGTCGTCATGCGTCAACAATCGTCTTCTTCTCTGAAAGTGCTGTGCTGATTTACCCCAAACTTGGAGCACACTCTTGACAGTCACACTTTAATTTGCTCATGCCATTCAATTGGTCCCTTTTTGGGCTCAACAGAGCTAAAAATAGAAAAATCTTTAAACACTTTCTTCTATTAAATTAAATGATGGATGATCATCAAACATTGTCAGGCAGTCTTTTATCAAATTTGCTCTTATGAATTTGATTGGCCCATTTTAGAGGCCGCTTAAAGATCCTGTAACACATTTTTTTCATGGTTTTATTTCATAAAAATGATGCTCAAATTAAGATTTGTCAATATTGTAAGTTCCAAAAAGCATTATTTATAAAGATATTACCCAATTTAACATTTCATGTAAATAAAGGGGGGTAATTAGAAATTTGTTTTCTATAAATTCTAAGTCAAATTTTCCAATAAGAAATGAATGCATGTAATTTATTGATTAAATATAATGTGCACAAATATTTGCAGTACACATTTTACATATTCTTTGATGTTTGAAAATTGTTTTATTTGCATAATTATATACATATATAACTTTTTGCAAGTGTGGTATTCACACAGTAACAATATCAATCACAAAACATACAGGATCTTTAAAATAGAACAAGGGCCATGTTAACATGGCCATCTCCTGTCGAATGTGTTTGCTCATTGAAGAATGTATGTGAAGTAGAGCAGAATAATTCAATTTTAAGAGGTCTTTTGGTAATGAAAACTGATAGCTGAAGTGATTACATATTTGAAACCTATGTGAATACTGATGGCTGAAAATATAAAAGAGCAATAACTAAAAAAATGCAGGGTAGGTTATCATTCTTGTGTGCTGCACTCCTCTTCGATGATATCTGTCTACCTATGAAGTTTTAAGTTGATACCTCTTACACATTTTAAGATACTTCCGGACAAAAAGTATGAAAATTACAAAGGGCAATAACTCAAGAATTATAAAGGGTAGAGTTATCATTCTTGCGCACAGCATTCCTCCTCAATAAGATAAATCCACCTATGAAGTTTCATGTTGACATCAGTTGTGCTCTACTCAGGTAAAAATTAAGTGTGAAAAATAACAAAGGGCAAAAACTCGAAAATTATGAATGGTAGAGTTATCACTCTTGTGCACTGCACACCTACTTAGTGAGATATATCCACCTATGAAGTTTCATGTTGATATCTCAAGGGCTTTTTTGAGTTATGCTCTGGACAAAAATGAAGTTTGAAAATTAACAAAGGGCAACAACTGAAAAAATATGTCGGGTAAGTTATCATTCTTCTCTATATGATCTATCTACCTGTAAAGTTTCAGGTTGATACGTCAAATTCTTTTGAGATATGCTTCAGGCAAAAAGTATGAAAAATAACAAAGGGCAATAACTCAAAACTTATAAAGGATAGAGCTATCATTCTTGCGCAGAGCATTCCTCCTCAATAAGATCTACCCACCTATGAAATTTCATGTTGACATCTCAAAGACTTTTGAGTTATGTTCCACTCAGGTGAAAAATTAAGTATGAAAAATAACAAAGGACAATAACTCAAAAATTATGAAGTGTAGAGTTATCATTAATGTGCACTGCACACCTCCTGAGTGAGATCTATCCGTCTATGAAGTTTCATGTTGATATCTCAAAGGCTTTTTAGCTCATCTGTCGCAGTGACATGGTAAGCTTTTATAATCGCTTTTTGTATCAAATATGAAAGAACTTTGCCCTACTTTTTTTTCCATTGAGAATGCCTTTATTCGAAATTCCAGACGGTTTATATCACATTATCTGTCCCAAAACAATTTAAAGTGATAATACTGGTCAACACTGCATGATTATTTGATTGTAGAATTACGAATGTCATACTCTTGACAGGCATTTTAATCACTATATTAAATTCTTCAGCATCAGATTTCCTCAGATCATTTATCTTTAACATTTATTAAAGAATAGGTAACCAAATCACATATTAAGCTTTTAAACATTATTAAGCAGTTCTTCAATTAAAAATATTTTCCTAAATTTGTAAAATGTTTTTATGACAAAACCAGTTTTATTTTTAATGACTTAAAATGAATCAGTCTATAACAATGTATAATGTTTGGTCTGTAATACAAAAACTAATTATGTTGATAGTATTTAGTATCAGATATTGTCAACAAACCACAATAGAATCATTTATAGATGTTGTTGGCAGGTGTAAGACACATGATCCGATAATACATATATATTTATATTGCAGATGATAAAAATGTTCTATAACAAAATATTATTATTCATCATATAAATGTTTAATACTATTTATACTATTTAGAGCATTAACAACAACTTTTTTCCAATAGCAATATTTTAAATTTTAATACAATTTCCAAATGATACATTCCTATTGTTTTCTTTGATTTTTAAAACATTAATGGAAAATGTGCCCATTATAGATCTCTCTATCCACTTTAATGTACGAAAAAGAAGAAACATATGCAGTGAATTAGGTATTTACTTATTTTGATAATACAGTTAAAATTGTATTGTTCTATGACAGTTTATAGATGTGAAGGAAGTTGTCTGGTGCCTTACAACTGAAATACAGTTTCTTTGTTTCTCCACACCAACATACAGCCTTTGGTCTCTTCAGATCCTGCAGCACCACCTTTCCTGTAGAACAATCTCCTGATATCTCTTCTATAACATTTCTCTTCAAGTCACACACAAAGACAGTACCATCATCTGACAGTGACATTCCTGTAGGCCAACTCATACCACTATAACTACCTATCACATCACCTTGCCAGTTTAATCTTGTTACTGTCTTCATGCCTAAGTCAGATACATAGATAGAACTTCTGTTACTGATGACATCACCTAGAGATCTGAAAATATTATTTCCATCAATTGTTGTCAGTATAGTGCCATTCATATCAAGTATCTGAAGTTTTTGCAGGATTAAGGAATGACACAACAAGTTTATCTTGGTAACAGCTTATACCTTGACAGTCAACATCAACCTTCACTGCGTGCTTCTTTACAAGTTTGTTTGATGAGATTGATATAAATTGTATTGTTTGTGTATGTTAGGAAGTATGACAGCAAGTTCAGTACTGGTTACTCTGGTGATATCCAATGGTCCAGCATCTAGTTGTAGTTGATCAAACACAGATTTACTGCTGGTATCCACCATCTTTTATGGCATTGTTATAGTGGTCAGTGATGATAAGAAGATCAGGAGCCAGCAGAGTCATTCCTGTTATATTGCAATTATATTCATCTTTTGATGTCTTCACACGGAATTGTCCCTCATGTGAAGACTGTCTAGATTTAATTTGTATAGGTTGACGTTTTTTATTAAAACTTTTCAGTGTACCCAGTGACTTCTTTTTTTTTAAACAAATTTAATATTACATCATTTGATTGAAAGTTGTGCTCTTTGATATCATACAAAAAAAGTTGTTGTGCTTTTCCCTCCACGTTCTGTATTGTTTTCTCTGCAAGTTTATGTTCCATGAAAAGTTTGTTGGCCTGTTTTGATGTGTTAAGTTGTTTGATCTTGTCTGCTGATATCTTCAAAGATTTGGTTATATCTTCGCAAATTTCTTCTACTGCTTTCAGATGTTTTTTGTTATCTTGTTCTATGACTTTAGCTGCATCTTCAGCCTGTCTCTCAAGTTCATCTAGTCTTTGGTTGATTTCTTGCCGAAACTTTTTAATGTCAACACATGCATCTTTGAGAGAGCTATTTGATTAGTATATCATGTTCTTGACATCTTCTACCATCTGTTGAAATTTGTCGGAAGTGGTATTTACTGCATTCAAGATAACTTGATATTCTTTGCTGTCTATAATATCACCAGAACTGTCTGGTATATAGTTGACTTTGCAGGAAGTAACTTGATGTTCAAGGGTAACACAAACACTGCACAGAAATTCTGTATGGTCATTGCAGTAGAACTTGAGAATTTCTTGTGGATGTTTCAGACATGATGTGGTTAGGACATCAGACTGACCTGTGTGTATGGATGTTGAGGTTGCTGCAAAACTTTTAGGCATATTAGTAGCGTCCTTAAGTGTATGGTGTTTAGAAAGCCTATTTATTTTATGGGCTGTAAAGCATGTGTGGCAAAGGTGTTCCTTGCAGTCAGTACAGTAACCATGTGCAGGGAGTCTTGGTCCTTCCTCGTCACAAGGCTGGCAGTAAATTTGAAAATCTTCATCTGATGACATGGATGTTGTGGAAGATGAACATTGTTTTGAAGCTTTCTTTCCTGACACTGCCATGTTTTACCTTAAATGCATTATAACATAAACTTTGTATTTCATGTTTGTCAAATTGCCTTTGTGTATATAACTATATCATACTCTAGCAGACAATTTAAAACATTGGTAGTATCTTGCTTACTTTTAAGGCTTGTTTAGAGTAAAAAGATGAGCAGAAAATATCTTTTAGAAATAAAACATTTTAGATTTATATTTTAGATGTTATTATTAACATAACACTTCATTGTAAGATCCATATCGATGGCTTAACTCAATAAGGGCGTAACTACATTTTTGAAAATTTTACAGTAGATTTCTGTATATTCTCATTACATTTATACTTTCTTTTGTGATATGAAAATATACATTCTAATATAACTTATAAAACATCAAAATGAATTATGTAAAAAACATTTGAGAGATAATATTATATGGAATAAGGGTGTTGGTATACTTACGTCCATATTGCAGTAAGATTTACATTAAACATGGGCATTTTTTGTTAATATGCA